AGAGAAAGATATAAAGAAAGTTATCGAATGAGAACCACTGTTTGCTTCTTCGTAAACGATGAGTATCCAAAATGGAAATATTCGATTTATGGTTAGTACGAAGGAAGATACTATCTGTGAGTAGTGAGTCAAAAGTTCTCTTAAGTGATTTTTAAAATCAATTACTCTTTTTTCAAGACTTTTTCATTCAAGATCATTTCTTTTCAAGATTGTAATACTACAAGGCACTTAGAAACTCGAACAATCTGCTAAGTAAAACAAGATAAAAAAAAAGAATTAAGTCTATAAGAGTTTCGAAAAAGTGTAATTGATTTTTAAAAAATTACTTTTCAATTTTTCATCTACCTAGAAACTTTCAATTGATCTTGTATAATTTTAATATTATATATATATATATATATATATATATATATATATATATACAATAAAGTTTTAAAAAGATATAATTTAATTGACGACGACGTTGTTAAAAATGGCTTTAGTTAGTATAGTCATTTTATATATAAAAATCTTTTCAATTAGGTTGAAAAGAAAAAACTCGAAATTTAGTTTTGTTTAAATTAGAAAACAAAAGAAAAATTTCTTTCTTCTTTTACATAGACAACACAACAACAACCATACACATATATTTGTAGTAGTTTCGTGTAATCAAGCGCGTCAAAAATGGCGATAATTTCGTTCAAATTTCACTGGACATATTGGAGTAACCTTATGGTTACCGTACATATAATACATGGAGCATTCCATGAGAAAAAAAAAAAGGTTGGATATTCGAAAAATCATCGGTAGAAAAAATTTGATGATGAAAAAAGGAGTGAATGAAAAAATTATGCAACGTAATCTTTAATCTACCTGTAACTCTAGAATTATAATAGCCAAAAATCTGTAAAAATTCTCAAAATGTTTTTTAATGATGTTAAAAATGATTAAAAAAAAATTTCAACAAAATCGAAAAGGGTCAGGGGTCAAAAGTGGTTGATTTGACGTAGAATGTCCTATATATTATATATCTTATATACACACACAGTATGTATATGTATAAACATACATATCATATATATATATAACGTGACATAAACATCTCGTGTTTGATAAAAAAAAAAAAAGAAATGTTATGCTTCGAAAAATTTGATTTTATAAAAATGTCGTCTGTGAGCAAACTCTACACATGGAAACACATATCTCATACGTTGCTCTAAAAAAAAAAAGAAAAAAAAATTAGGCCAACGTAGACGTTCCTACGAAGAGGTTAGGAAAGATCTCTCTCTCTCTTTTTTTGTTATCGATCGACTTTCAGTATTCATGGAAAAAAAAAAAGTATAAGGGGAAAAAAAAGAAATGCAAAGGAACATGATGCAACCGARAAGTATGAAATAAGTAAATAAAATAAAATATATGGAAAATATATGACACAATATACATATACATATGTAAAAATAAAAAGAAAAAGAAAAAGAAAATAAACGGCATGGACAACACAGAGGCCAATTTTGTGATGACCTCGACAGCCAATCGTCGATTTGACAATGGCGTGGACTCCTATCTTTTTCTCTCTATTTCTGATAGCCATTGAAATAAAAAAAAAAATAAATAAAATAAAACCAAAAAAGAACAAAAAAGGAAAAAAATTACATCCAATACTAACCCGTATATATATATATATATATATATATATATATATATTATTACGCGACGCGATGTTTTATATATTGTCCATGTATGTATGGATACATACATACATACATATATATATATATATATGTGTGTGAGAGAGTGGCCGCGTCGTTGCCACTTCTTTCCCTGCTTGCTGCTGCTTGCTGCTGCTGTTGTTGTTCAACGATAGAATAAAAAAAAAAAAAGAAAGAAAGAAAGAAAGATAGTGGGAGAGAGAAAGAGAGAGAAAAGTCGAATACGTCTTTCCAGAGTTTCAACTCTCCCTAACCTTACAAAGTTCTCTTAAGTAGACACAGAGATATGAGTATATCCTCCTTTAAAGAGTTGCTCGAGAACGAATGCAGTGGTTCTCATTTACGAACAATTTCAATACTTATGATTAATTTATTTGTATATACATATATGAATATATATAT